CAAGGAACACAGCTCCTGGGCATCCTCGTAGAGGATGGAAGAGACAGCAGCGGAGGACAACCGCCACCCTCCAGGCCGTCTTCCTTCCTTCCTCCCCTGCCCCACCTTCGGACGCGTCCCCGGCGTCTCCACGGAGGGGCCCACCCCACTCAGCAGAAGCAAACGTCCCAATGTGGGGGGTTCCTTGCCAACAAGGTGGATTGAAGAAGGGGTGCGCTGTGAGGTCTCCCCGTTCCAAGCCCCCGCTGGGCCCCGGAGCCTGAGAGGGATCAGTTCACCAACGCAGGTGCACCCTCCACGGTCCCCGCGGGGCACTACAGGCGGCTCCTACAAGGGAAGGTGAGGAGCCTTAATCCCTTCTAATGCCCATTCCTTCAAGGGGATTTACGAAGCCATTTGGCTAAACTCCTGGGGAGAAACAGCGAAGCTGCCCGAGGAGCAGGACCATGGCCTGGGGGTGACCACGGTACCAACAGCCCCTCCCCGGCTGCAGCCCCGTGAGCTGCCGGGTGACAGAGCCCAGCAGTGTCCTGCAGGGCCAGCACCATGTGCCACCCAGGGCTCCCTCCATGCAGGCCCGTGACCCCATCCGGAGCCGCTGACTGGCAGCTGCATACCCGGTGCTGCGGCAAGGAGGCCGAGGGCCAGGCGGAGGGGCCCTGCCTGTCCCTCTCCCTGCCTCGGGCTCGTCGATGCAGCCCCGTCCCGGAAATGGTTCTCTCCCCTTGCAGGGGTCGGCTCTCTTCTGCGGGGACCAGCCTTGGGAGAAGGTGTCAGGCTGGGCTGTGCCCAGTTCCCAGCTGGGCTGTGTCTGCTGGAGACGCAGGGGAGGACCCTGCGCTGGGGGAACACTGCACGGAGGGAGGCAGGCTCCCCGGGCCCGCCTGGTCGGGGGTGCTGCTGTGGCCTGGGGGAGGCACCCGTCTATCTGGGACGATATCCGGGGTTGGCGAGAGCCTGGGACCCGAGCGGCCCCGAGAACTCAGCCAGCGTCTCGCAGTCCTCCGGCTGCTCCATCCACTCTCCGTGCCTCGGGACACAGCAGCCGCCCACGGTGCCACTCTGGGGGTTCTTATGACTCCCCTAACCCCCAGCGTCTCCAAAGCCCGCTCCCCTTCCTGCTGACCACACACAGAGCTGTCTGGGCCTCCCCTCCCTGCCTCGCCTCTGCAGGTCATGGGCTGGGGTGAGGAGGCTTTGGAATATCAGGGGCCAGGGGGCTGGGGCTGCGGCGCTGGGCTCGGGGTCAGGGGGCCCCCTGGGTGGGTCCCCAATGGAGCCAGTCCCGGGACTGGAAGGTCTGCTCTCCTTCCAGCGGGGTTCCGGCTGAGTCCCATGGACCCTCTCCTCCCACGGGGTGGCCACTCCAAAGGCCTCCCTGTGGCAGAGGCCACACAGAAGGAAGGGGCTCTGTCTGCAGGTGGGGGCTGAGAGACAGGAGATGGAGAGTGATGGAGAGAGAGAGACAGAGAGAAAGAGATGGGGACAGAGATGGAGAGAGAGAGACACGGAGAGAGAGAGAGAGAGAGACAGAGGGAGAGAGACGGGGGGGAGAGAGAGACAGAGAGATGGAGATAGAGATGGGGGAGAGAGAGAAGGAGAGAGACAGAGACAGAAAGAGACAGAGACAGAGAGATCTAGAGAGACAGGACACAGAAAGACAGAGATACAGAGACAGAGATGGACAGAGAGACAGAGAGAAATAAAAGAGAGAAAAAGAGACAGAGAGAGGGAGGGGAGGAGGGGCAGAGTAAGGATTTCTCGTGATGTCTTTTGAGGTTCTGAATAAAATCCCCATGAACAACCCCAAATCAGAACTTTCCAATTACATCAGCCAACAACATTTTTTGGTATTTTTTTTAAAACTGAAGTCAGCGTGGGTGGGATTTCCTGTTATTTCCAACCCCGAAGCATCACAACGGATGTACTGCTGACTCCCGCAACGCATCCATTAGGGATCCGCTGCCTTTTGAAACCCCGCATCCTTGGGAAGCAGAAGGTAACACGCCTTCCCGAAATTTACAATTCAGTGCGAATGACTTTTCCAGTGGATTTCCTGCGAGGAGGTTTCGATATGGATGGGGGAGAACGCTCGGGTTTATCCCGCCTCTGGCTGGGAGGGAAGAAAGAGCAAATAGAAGGGAAAAGACTGAAGCTTTACAGCAGACCGTGCCGCTCAGCGGATTCCGGGAGCCCGCACGGGGGTGTGGGTCTTCTCCAAGCACCCCTGGGCTTTCTGCCCCAAGGGTCCCCAAATGACACTGAAGAATCATAAACACTAGGGAGCGTCCCCGCACCTGTGCTCCCGGAGCTGCACAGAGATGGCCGCGTGGGCCGCGGGGTCCGACCCGCAGGCTGTGCCTCCGTCCCTGGGGCTGCAGGTGCGTGTCCTTGAGGCCCCGTGTCTCTGCGGGCAATTTCACGAGTCCCTGGGCATGGACACAAGTGCGGGCTTCTTTGCTGACTAGTACCACGAGCCTAACTCAGACTGCTCTGCTTGAAAGTAGCCGTTTTCAGCATCCTCCAGGGACAGTCTGGCGTGGTCTGGCTCTGAGCTCTCGGGCGCTGTTGCAAGGACGTGGCTCCCCCGGAGAGTGGCTCCGGCTTCTCTGTCGGTGCCTTTCTGGAGGCGGCCGACCTACTTACTGCAGGAGGTCCTGTCAGGGAGGGTTAGCAACAGCGTCAAAAGGAGGGGACCCCTCTTTCCTAAGACCTATGCCTGACTCTTCAGAGGGTGCCTCTGTGGCTGGGATTGGGACCAGGTCTCTCCCGGAGCCGAAGACGGCCTCTAGAGGGACATGGCGCTTTGTGGCCATGCAGGGTCACCCGGCCACCGGAAGTTGGGGTGGACACGGCACCATTTACGTTGCCCGGATTGAGAGCAAAGACATTAAGGAACGTCCTGGAGCAAACATCACTGTAATCAGGAGGGCGGAGGCTGCTGAGAACACGCCCCAACGTCCTTCACAGGAATTCACAGCTTCTGCTGCTCCGAGAGTGCATCTCCCCGCCCTCGTCCCCGCGTGCCCTCGGCCTGCAGTGTTTCCACGCTGTGTGTCGTCCGGCCGGCCGTGAACAGACCCAGCCTCGGCGTCCCGGCGTGAGTCTGTCCGCACGAGCGCCTCCGTGGCTCAACCACGTGCGTTCCCGTCTTGTCGATCACCGCATCACTCACTCGCGTGTTCGACACGCATTTATTTGGTGCGTCCTCTCTGCCCGGGCTTGGTCATGACGGGGGACGGCGGCAAAGGAAGAGAACCAGACAACGCTGCCCGCCCAGAGCGTACAACCCCGTGAGACCGTCAGACAAAGTAAAGTAAAAACATAAATGTGAAACTAGAGAGATCTGCATCGCATGCATATACCTTCGATGAATAAATATAATGGAAAAACACGAGCGGGGCCAGGGAGGACGGTGCTGGGGGGATGCGGGATCATTTGATCAACACTGCCCGGGACGGGCTGGGGAGAAGGGGAAGCGAGGGACACGGCCCTGCAGGGACGGGAGTTCGGAGCACAGGGCTGAACACAGGGGGGTCTGACCCGTCCAAGGAAAGGCCAGTCCCCTGGTGTGGCTGGAACAGAGAGAATGAGCGGGAACGCAACAAGGGTGAGGTCAGAGTTCAGGCAGGTGGCAGGTGGGCGGACTCCGTGTCCCCACAGTCACTTTGTCTGCTCTGAGATGGGAGGGAAGTGGGGGATGTTTGCGAACCGAGGAGTGACGTGGTCAGACTGACCCTGGGGTCCCACGGGCTGCTGCAGTGAGAGCAGACTCCAGGCGACAGGAGGCCACCGGGGGGCCCGCAAGGAGGACGCCACATGCACCTGGGAGAGAGATGGGACCGTGGCCTGGGGGCTGGCAGGACGCCATGGAGGAGGGTCGGGTGCGGGGCATGTTTGGAAGTCGCTGCCAACAGGATGTGCTGGAGGACTGGAAGTGAGGAGAGAGGGAAATCGAGGGCAAGCCAAGAATTGGTGTGTGGCCCCGGGAGGCCCGGCCTGCCCGGTACCCGCTGAGGGGATTCTGGAACGGGGTGAGCAGTGTGTCACGACGCCGTCCTTCCTTCCCATCCCTGCCTTGTCCCCAGCCAATCACAGGGCAGGGACGGTGCCTGACTACGGTCCTACTACCGTGAACAGGACCCAACATCTGGTGGGGACGCCGCTGGCATCTGTCCACTGCTCCCTGCCGATGGACACGCTCCCTGGAGTTCCCAGAGAGCAGAGGGGCTTAGCAGGTCCCGCCCAGCACAAGGGGGTCACCAAACTCAGACCGCTGCGGGGACCCAGAGAGAAGGGGTCACGTGCACTTCCTGTCCCCCGCCTGCTGCCCCCAGGCGTTTGCTGGGAGGCAGACTTGGAGGAGGGTGCCAGGCAGCATTCGCCACCACGGCTCTGAGCCGGGAGTGGGCAGTGGCAGCGTGACAAGCCCGTCCCCCGCCGAGTGCAGCGGCCGGCCGAGTGCCCCGGCCAAAACATCTCCGTGCACACTTTGGCTTGTCTCCGCTGTGCGTTCAATTGTAAAGAGAGAGAAGAGGGCAGGAAAGAAGGGGTCCAGGGAATGTGAAGGAAGGGCCACCCTCCATGCCCACCCAGCTGCAGAGCCGTCCCAGATTGGCCGGGAGTGGGGACCGTCGTCTTCTCTTCCTGCCTCGGCTAGCACTGTCAGTCACAGCTGGGGAGACGAAGTGCACGCTCGCCCCACTCCCCCACTGACTCGGCACACACGCTCCCTGCTGTGCAATCATCCCAGAGCACGGCCACACACCCACCAGGCTGGGTCTGGCCCCCTTCCCAGTCCCTGCAGCCCTCCACGGCCTCCCCAGGGACTGGGACGAGGCCCCGAGCACTTGGCAAACAGGAAAGGTCAGGAGCTTTGCACACCTTGCTGAGCCTCCAGACACCACCGGAATGGGCTGGGAGGGGCCGCAGGAGCCCCGGCGGTCACCACCTCGGACTCCGGCAGGGGTGGGGGGTGGGGCAGGGAGGCGTCCACTTGCCTTGATCACGTCTTCGTCAGACGACCGGCACTCCACAGACGTTAGCAGGTCAGTCACCGTGCCGTCCTCCTCCACCGACACCACCTTCACCGGAACGGCCACCATCTTCCCCGTGAGTATGGCTGTGTTCAGGATCTCAGCCTCCTGGAAGACCAAACACACCCTGCCATCACATACCTTCTCCCTGCGACGACCTCCCGCCTCCCCACGAAGGACCCGGGCGCCCGCACGGCCCGGAGTCACCGAGGGAGAACAGGATGGGGAAGGGGACCCCAGGGGAAGGGCGGGAGCAAATTTATCACAGGTGTTGTGTTTGACCAGCCTCCCCATCAGCCAGAAGCTCTTTTAACTGCTTTGCAAGAGTGGACATGTTCGGTCCCAGACCAGATCTTAGCATTCCCTCCATTTGGCAGATGGCACAGAGAGGTTGTGTCACTTGCCCGAGGTCACACAGCCTGGCAACAGTGAAGGTGGGACTTGAACCCAGGAAGTCCAGCCGCTGAGCCCAGGTGTCAGCTATGCCAGGATGTCTGAATTGAGACAAAATGATGCCACCTTAAGCCGTGAACCGTTGACCAGGGGAGCCGGGGCCCTAAAAGCAGCGGAGATCAGCCCCACCCACGGCCTGTCCTGCGTGTAGCATGCACACGGAGACGGAGACCCTCGCTCTTGGAACTCTGTTGCACTGTCCATCTTTCCCTTCCTGTCCCTCCTCGGGGCTCTTACTGGGTCCTGGCCTCTGTGTATGTCTGGAACTTGACTACGGCTCCAGTGACATGCTCGGCCCGCCGACATGACATGTGTGTACAACAGACACACACGCCCACGCAGACATGCGTTTGCCTGCCCGATGCGTCCTCTGCTGCTCGGCTCACGGTGTCCCGCGGGACATCCCTGCTTGCTTTCGTTATTCAATTTAGAGCCCCTCGGAGCCCAGGACACACGGGCTCAGCCTCTCCTCTGGGGCATCTCACACCATTACTGTCTTACTTAGGATTAGTCAGCCAGAGACCGCTCTTCCAGGCCAGAAGCTCTGGCGGACTGGTCTGCCTTCTGCTCCCCAGCGCCTGGCACAGCGCTAGCTGCCGCAAGTAGTACATTATCTGCAGGACGTGTGGACAAGGACTTGGCCAGGAGGACTGGAATCCACGCCCTGCCTCCCTGGTCTCCAGCCCTTAGTCCTGTGCATGGACCCAAGACCTCAGGCTGCACGTCCCAGACACTGAGCAGCGGCCCTTGCTCTGCCCCTGTCCCCAGCACATCTCTCCCTTCTTCAGGTCCTCCTGCAGGGCCCTGGGAGATCACAGGAACCCATTTCTTAGATAGAGAAAACTGAGCCCCAAGAACCAGAAACGTGTCTCATTCCCATCTGCAGGGACTGTCTCCCCCAATCACACGAGATCAAAGTCCCCATACAACCCACAGCCTCCGTGCATCTAGCCTCCCGAATTCTTGCCCATGGAGCTCTCCTGCTCAGGGCTGTGAGCTGTGGGCCAGCGGTGTCCCCGAGAGGGGCTGTGTTGGCACAAACGCAGGGCTTCTTCTGTAGGTCCAACCTTGTCCAGCCTATCCTTGGGGGAGCAGCAGTGAGACGCCTGAATGGCTGCTAGGAGACACGTCTCTCTTAGGGCTGGGCTTGCATGGGGTCTTGATAATTTGATTTTCATGTGAAGTTGCAAATTCTCATTTAGGAGCATGTCAGAGGAAGGGATAGAAATGTATCATCCTAACATTGCATAACTGTTTTCCTTAAGTTAACTTTGTATTTCTTACATAAGGTCTTACTTTTCCTTTATAGGACTCGTTCATCTTATAATTAGCTCATTTGGTGTAGATTTGAATGTGAAACTATGTATATGTTTTTTTTTTCCTTTGGTTATTTAACTCTGAAAGAAAGACCGCAGTTTGGAATGTTCCCGAATTTCAAAGACCATGTCTTCCACTGTCTCACTACGCAAAAGCTTCTAAATGCCCATTGATTATGCACTTGTTGTTTTCTCCCCCCTCGTTGGTCAGTTCCCAGCCCGATGTGATTTTATTCTGGGCACAAGCAGAGTGAAAGGATGAAGGGATGAAGTCAGAATGTGACGCTACTTCCCGCCACCTCTGGGGGTGGAAAACCTGCGTCCCTGTTCCTACTGAAATGGAGGAGATCCAGACCCGCGTCTCTGTTCCTACTGAAACGGTGGAGATCCAGGAGAACCATTCAGGCTTTGGGAACAAGTGGGGAATCGCTCCTTGACTGTCTGGCCCAAACTGGCTCATTTCAAAGGAAAGCACAAAGCGGGATCTCAGCCTTATGACTCTGGACACCTGCTTCAGGGAAGAGGAAAATGGTTTCGCTTATGTCTGGTGGAAGAAGCAGCAGCGGCTGACAGCAAACCCCAAAGGGCATTCAAATTGGCACGGTCAGGACCAACCCCGGGACTCACTGGCGAGCGGGTGCAGGCCCAGAGGTGGGGGACGCCTCTGGCTGGACGCCTCGCTCTGCCTGCAGGATCCCATGGGATCGGTGCCGGGGCTGTCAGGCCTTCCCAGCCTCTGTGCATTCCCAGGTCTGCGAGCCAGGACCCTTCTCTCCGGCGTAGCTCTGCTCTCCCCGGAAGGTGAAGGGCGTGTCTCCAGGCAAGAGGTGGTGGGAGTGCCCAGCATGGCCTTGGTTCAGGTTGAGACATGACACACAGCTAAGTTGCTGATCTGACCCCAGAAATCCCCAGCAAGTTCACTGCCTTGTCGCCATGGGTCGCTCTTACCCCAGCCCCTCAGAGCGAGAAGAGCAAGGCTGGAAGGTGTAGGGGAAGCTCCATCGCAGGGCTCACTGGGAGCCCCGAGGACCCCCCCGGGTATCTCAGAGCTGCAGAGAATGTCAGGCCGTCCAGAGGCCAGGAGGAGGCACAAAGGGAGGAGATGGTGACGGTGCTTTGAGGCGACCTCGTAAGAGAGACCACAGATCCTTATCTCGGGCTTCGACGCACCATCTACTGTAAGAAAACATGGAGTGGCCTGATTTTGTGGGAGAAATGACAGTTCCCCTCTTGGATCCGCTCTAGCACAGATTCGAGGAAGGGATTCGAGGTCAGGATGGCGCAGTTGTGGGGGGCGATTCAGGAAGTGTCCGTAGGGGAGTCGGGAAGAGACAGCCAGGAAGGCGTGCGCGCCTCCGCCAGCTACCACGGTGGGCCGCTGGAGCCAGTCCTGCGGGGACCACGCCGCGTTGCAAAATACACCATGCGTGTTATATACTTCCATATGTGCAGACATATTACCACACATTCCCTTGCAGGGAAATTACCTAAAATACACACCTAAAAATAGTTCGGCGGAGGGGCGAGGGAGCTGGGCGATTTATACGGAACCTCCTGAGAGCTGCTCCCAGGGACAGCGTCCCCGGCACGTCCAGCCTGCTGTGTGTGTGGGCAAAGCAGCCTCCCCCGGTTTCCAAGGATGCTCCTGGCAGACGGCGGTCCGGGGCCCTGCGCCGTGCTGGGGTGTAAGGGACGTGCGTGGGGCGGAGGACTGAGGAATAATACTGAGGGCTGCTGTCTCGTCGGGAGGGCTGGAGGGTCAGAAGTAGAACTAGAGAGCCGGCTTGTTGGTTTCATTTCCTCCTGCCTCCCAGCACCCCGATTTCCCGCCTCATGAACCCAGTCACGGATTCACGATCACCCTTCCTTCCAAATTCATCTGAAAACGGAGGAGAGGAAGGTGACAGAGACAGAAAAACACGGCCCTGGAGCCTTCTGAACCGCACCCCGAGGCCGAGCTGTGTGTTAGAGATGGTCTGTCACCCACCCTACGTGCACCTGCCTTTCTGCCCTCCTAGCAAAACCCTGATTTGTCTGAGCTGCAGGATGTCCAGCTAAAATTATTGCATTTTGGGGGGCTGCCCTTCATTTGTGACACAGTTCTGGTTCAGGAGATATAAATGGAAGTCACTGGGTGAGGCTTCCAAAAAAGTTTGTGAAAAAAAGCAGATTCTGAAGGTTCTTTTGTGTTTTCCCTTTTCTCCCGCTGCCAAGCACAGATGATCCTGGCTTTGGGGCTCTATCTTGAACCCCCATGGTGAGAGCATGCGGCTAAAAGACACATGGCCCCATGTCACGTTAGGGTCAAGGGCAGGGAAGCTGTTGTTGGAGAGCTGGGTGGGACTCCGGCCTCTGACACTGCCCAGCGGGTGACCTCAGATGGCTCCCCTGACCCTTGGTGCCTAATTAGCTTCAGTGATGGAATGAGGATAATGCAGTGCCTGCCTCCGCCTCCTGTGTCTGCCCGGGGTCTCGGGGAGTCACCACTGTTGGGGAGTTGGTGACAATGACCGGTGCCTCTTCCGTCCTGAGTGTCTGATAAACACAGGTGTGAATGGCGGCTGCCTCAGAGTGGACAGTGTCCCCCCCACCATCCACATCCACTCAGAACCTCAGGATACGACCTCATTCGGGAAGAGGGTCTTTGCAACTATGACGAGTTAAGTTCACAGGAGGTCGTCCTGGATGACTGTGGCCCTCCTCCAATGACAGGTGTCTTTGTGAGACGAGAAGACACAGACAGAGCCCCCCGGGAGGCGGCTCTGGGAGGGCACGGGTAGGGGTCAGGGTCGTGTTTCGGTAAGCCAAGGAACATTGCGGATGCCAATAGCCACCAAAGCTGGGAGAGATCGGCAAGGATTCTCCCCAGGAGCCTTCAGAAGGGGCGTGGTCCCGCCGACACTCCGAGTTTGGACGGCGACCTCCAGAAGTCGAGGGAACAGACGTCTGCTCTTTTCAGCCCCCATGTTTCTGGTACTTTCTAATGGTGTCCCTGGGAACCAGTGAGCGGCCAAGCCCAAGGGAAGGGATCTGGACGCCAGCCAGAGGCATCCTAACACCGATCCTGGACTCTCCCTCCAAATGCATGGCAGGGGAAGACTATATGATCTTGCTCTCCGATAACCGCAGTCCTGTCTGATACGCGGCGCCAGAAAGACGCCCCTGTGTTTCTCGGGTCTTGGGCTGAAATCAGCAAATCAAATAGCTTTTTGTCCCTATGGAGTGGGGAGAAAACCACTTTTTTGCCTTCACCGTCATCATGGCCCCTTGGGAGATCATGGAGCCGCGTGTGTTGAACCAGATGAGGAAGGTTGGAGGGAATAAAAATGAATACGGTGT